CTGGCCAAATATGCCTTACTCAATCTTGGACCATGGACTCTTATAATTTTCAAATCTATTAGGGTATTGCAATGTCTAGCACCATACCCAATCTAGAGTGATATAAAAGGACAAATTCACTAGAGATATGTGAGAATATGTGTATGTGGAGATATGTGAGTGAAAAATCTATATGGTCGGGCTGACACCATAGGACATCCGGTGCAGCATTATATGGTACTGTTATCATGGGACATTTAGGCAGTCTAGCAACTCTCCAATACCCGTTAGGGTGCGGTTAGGAGTCAATGAAACCTCTATCACAAGTGCGTGAAGAGGGAAAAACCATATTCCATAGGCAGATTATATTACTTTTGTCGAGTATTTCTACCATCAAAAGTGTACTCGAATCAACAAATGGTTGATCCAAGAGAGCCTATGGTTTTATGTCTAGGAGCATTGAAGGTTCGGTGGTTAAACGATTATGCTAGTGTAAAACTATGTGTTTTATTGACAAAAGATACACTTATTTCATAATTATGGTATGCTTGTTATTACTATGGTTCTGATACTTTTTTACGGTTATTTGTGGTAATAAACATTTGATGAACTATATTGATTACTAAGATGTTTATCTCTACCTCGTGGTTATATTTTACATGTGAGGTCTCTAGTAGGGGTGAGGGAAAGGAAGAAGCATTTGAAGAGTGAAGAGCGTTGTAGTATAGCTCTTTCCTTTCTCCTTTTTGGTTTTGTAATGAATATTGTCACTAAATATTGCCAATTTAGGAACATGACATTATTTGGATTTTACTTGTGTGAATCTTGTGATAAGTATGTATATCTTGGCCCAAGAATGATGTTATGGATTAGGTGTGTGCTTGGCCAAGTTGCTTACATGTGATATATGTCAAGTGTTTTGAGTGCCAAAATGATCAATTAATTTGTGTGTTGAATTTTATCCACCCCATTATGTTATTGTCCAATGAGGGTTTAGTGGTTATTTTAAGCGTGATTTCTTAATTGTGTGATATGAATAGATTTTTATGTAGTGTGTGATCCATTTGAGGTGGTTAAGGTGTCTCTGAGGCTAATGGCATTGTGTATTGTGAGTTAGACACCATAGTATGTATTTTGTTGTGAAAACAAACCATTTTGAGTTCGAGTGTCCATCTTTTAAATAGGTGATTGTTTGAATGTGAGACTAGTACCATGAGCTAGAGAGCTCGAAGAGCTTTATGTGGGTACTTAAACCGCTCAAATCGGATGTCAGATGGCAAAACGACGCGCTCTAAAAGTTTAGAGAAAAGCCATAACAGCAAGTATGCATAGCAGTGCATGATTGTTGCACCGCAGCTCAAGAGGCCCTCGGGGAATTCATCCCTTTGTGCCATCCGTCATGGCAGACGAACCAAATAACGGCAAAATGACTTATTTTAGTCTATTTTGATGTGAATTGATTTTCATGCTTCCATATTTGCTCTTAATTTATTTTTAACCATGGTTTGAGCTTAAACGACATTTTAAAAAGGATTTTCTTAGGATTCCAATGTTTTTAAACCATTATCTTTAAACCCTTGAGTTGTGATAACTTCTTCAGAAGATTTTATTTAATTTGAGTTATCACAATGATGTGTGAGTGTTGTCCTGATAATGTTAAGGCTGACATTACATGGCATAGAGAGATGGCTTTCACGTTTTAATGACTCGTGCACCATGGCATCCCCTGCACACATTGTGGCATGTGCCACAAAATCACTTTCCCTTATTTTTCTCCCTTTTTAAGGTTCGAGCGTCCGAACTCTGCTCCAAACCTAATCCTAAGGCTGAAAATATAACCTAAAACATTCTTTAGCTCTATATACCATACACCACATTAATTATCTTAATTACCCTCAATTAGTCTAATTAAACAGGAGGTAAATTTTTAGAATGTTATAGAGCTTATTCTTATCTCTATTAAAAGCTAAACAAGGCCTTTACATAGAAAAAAGGGGGAATCACATTGAGGGCCTTAAAAAGACAAATTATTTCACTTTGAGCCTAAAAGATTCTAATGTTACACTGCAAGCCTAAAGGCCATTATTGCAATTTTTCTTGAGATCAAAAGTATGATTTTGCCCTCATGATTGGAAAACACAACCTGAGCAATGATGTGCAACTCAATGTCCATTGTACAAAACATAATATTCATATATGCTCAACTGAAAGTCCATGCGTGTCTAGTTTATCAGTAAGCTTAATACAATGTACAAGTTAGATAAATAATGTATAACCTAATATCCACTATGCACAACGCAATATTCATATATTTTTAATTGAAAGTCTATGTGTGTCTAGTTTATCAATAGGCTAGGTTTAACAAAATGTATAAGTTAAACAGATAATGTATAACATAATATTCACTATGCACAACACAACATTCATATATTCTCAATTGAAAGTCCATGTGTGTTTAATTTATCAATAGGTTAGGTTTAACAAAGTGTACAAGTTAAGCAGACAAAACACTATCTACTATGCACAACACAATTTTCATATTTTCTCAAATGAAAGTCCATGTGTGTTTAGTTTATCGATAGACTAGGCTTAACAAAATATACAAGTTATGCATATAATGTACAATATAATATCCATAATGCATAATACAATGTTCATAAATTCTCAATTGAAAGTTCATATGTGTCTAATTTATCAATAGGCTAGGCTTAACATAATAAATAAGTTAGGCAAATAATATACAACACAATATCTACTATGCACAACACAATCTTCATATATTCTTAATTGAAAGTTTATGTGTGTCCAGTTTATTAGTTGAGTAGGCTTAACAAAAAGTTTCTTAAGTTTATAAACAATAAAAAGTTTGTATATAACATGACAAGGTCTATTTATTAACAATACAATGTCCATCTATTTTACATGGTTTGTGTGATTAAACTAAACATAAAAGTTTCTCAAGTTTATAAACAATAGAAAATTCGTATATAACATGAGAGTATTAATTTGCTAACAACACAATGTCCATATATTTAAAACACAAGGTTTGTCAATATGATACACATAAATATCTACACAAGTTAATGCAAAGTTTTCACAATGTAAACTCTATAAATAACAACATAAATTTCATAAATAAAATTTACACCAAAACATGTATATTTGCTGTAGAAAAATCTGTATCAGAAACAACAAAAAGTCCATAAATAACAACTTGTTTTTATTAAATGAACATGAACACGTACATTATAACTAGATAAAACTGATATGACTCAAACTCTCTTTATGTCCTCTTTTGACAAAATAAAATTAATAATGGATCAACTAAAACTTCTAAGACTCTAACTAAGATGAATGGATGAGGTAAGCTAAAAGACAAGCTTAAGAGCAGTAAAAAAGTTACTTCCGTGATGGAAGATGCAATGGCTTAATCCATTCTTTCCACACTATGGTGGATTATTCGAAGAATTTAGTTGGCATGAGAGGAATGTAATCAGCCGAACACTTGATCATCTTCTCCATAGTCATCTGGATAAAAGTGGATTGCCCACACATATCTGTTGAATGAAAATACTTCAAATGGGAGAAAGAAGGAAAAGGGAGGAAGAAAAAGAGAGGGAATAGAGAAGCATGATGGAGAGGAAGATGAATTTGATTATTGCATCAATGTTGAAAGAGGAAGAGAGAGAAGGAAGATGGAGGAAGAAGAGAGGAAAAAGAATAAATTTGTCATTCAGCAGCTGGTTATAGGAAGGACAAATTAGTTATTTTACCAAAAAAAAACAATTGCAAATGAGGTCTTTGGGCCTTCAGAATAATTTCATATTTTATTAAACCTTATCTGTAAAATTCTTGCTTTTAAAGGCCCTTAGTGCGATTCTCCCTAAAAAAAATTCTAAACTAAACTTTGATTAATCCAAATAGTACATTTTACTCCTTTAGAACTTTTCGGAATTGTTACATTAACTTTGAAGATTCATGTCTTGGATCATACTTATCCAAATCAAGTAATCTAGGACTTATTTTAAAGCTGTAGTGTCCTTTATAAAATAAAAATATTCCACATAACATTTGCTTCTCCATTTAATACAGTTTAATGAATCTCCAACAATGTTATGTTTTAAATCATACTAAATCCAAATTTCTATGTCCTATCTTTCCCAAATCATAACTATGAGATATAGAATTCAAATTGACACGATCTTATGTTCTTTGGAAACCTTATGACTTTAGCTATATGAGAAAAATGTGAAACATAACTTTAGATTTCCCATTTGACACAGTTTATTGAATCTTTAAGACTCTCTTATCTTGGCTATGCATGGGATTCAAATTTTATGCTCTAACTTGAAAAATTCGTAACTTGAGTTATAGGGATCCCATTAACAAGATCTTGGTCTTTCTGAAAACCATGGGACGTCTTACATTATAAAAAATTATGATACAAGATGTTCCATTGTTAAATCAATCCTTGTAAATCAATAGATATAACACAGTGCAGAAAACTCTTCACTTGATCTAGATTACCTATCTCTGGCTTGTTAAATTTATTACTCATGTTCCAGAACATCAAGTAGCATGGTTTGAACATAATAAACTTTATCATGTTAGTTTGATCAGAAAAATCATCATAACCGTTGGCAATGTTTAGATTAGCTTTGGGACTAATTATAACCGAATCAACCATTAACTATTAACTCTGGAATCTTATTAGTCCATCCAATTCTTTGACTCTTGATTTTAACTAAGATCTCTAAAGAAGTAATTTTACCATGTGCTGGCTTCAATTTCTTAGAAATTCTAGGAATAATTAGTGATCACCAGCCTAATATAAGCATGCTTTATTTTATTTTACTATAATTATGTTTGGTTGATCATAATCATGAGAATAATCTGTTCCAGTTGCAATCATCCCTTGAACAGTGATAATCCAGTTGATAATATTATTTATGTCAATCCCCATGCCCACATGTCCGTCATTCTAGTGCTCTCCCATACATGATCATTCTAATTTTAGTCCATTTTATTCTCTATCAACCCATTTCATTTCATTTCTTTCCAACAACTAAACAGTGCTTAAAGCTCCAATTTTATGATCCTTCATCCCACGAATTGAAATGTTAGCTATATGCATTTGGCCAAATACAATTTAAGTAATAATAAATAGATATGAATACTCGAAAAACTTGGATGCTTTTCCCTCCACCACAGCTTAGAGATAGGTAAGATAAATAACGTAATTAGGATCAGCGACATATCCTTGAGATCAATGTAGCATTTCTTCAGAAGTCAAAATTGTGAGGGGTACAGACCATAGTCCTCATTGCCTTATGTTAACTTCAGGGGATGAATGAAAATACCATTTCGAGCTTCTGGGATTCGACCCCACTTTCCCAGACGAGGTTCCTGTAAGCAAGAGGCAGATCTCATAATTCTAGGAGATTAGATCACTGCAATATAGTTAAAAACGTAAGAGGTCTGAATATAAAGAGATCTACACAGCATAAAGCAGAAAGAGACTATTCACTGAAGATAAATCCATAGGATTCATATCTCATAGATAGACGAACCAGATTAGAATAAATGTAAATTCTTATCCAGTTATGTGTCGAATTGGAAATGTTACAGGAGTTAAAGTTGACATAAGAGAAGCCTTCCTCAATCAGACAGTAGCAGCGTGTCAGTTATCTTCATTTTAAGCACTAAACCTAAGTGAAAATAGTTGGCCCCAGAGAAGAAAAATCCTAACTCAAGATAATATTTTGCAGTAACCAAAATACATTCCAAGGGCTTAAAAAAATTATATCAGCTTATTGAATAAGCAAGCATATTATCCAAATTTGAGCAAAACTTCACCTGTCCAACTCCAGCAGCCAGGAACTCTGCTGATTTTGCAAAAGCCAAGGAATTCACAAATCCGACCTGCATTGCAAGAAGGTATAATAAAATCAATAAAGTTTTTACAATTGCATATCAAACTTGTCACAAATATTGGTGAGAATATTATCACAATTTTATCCTCCATTGTTCTGACAATGTTCATGTGTATGGCCAATATATTTACCATTAAATTTACAAGTCAGACCTAACAAACATCTTAATAAAATATAGTTAAGAGAGAGAGGCAACAGTTGTGTTGCTATTCCTTTTTCTTACCAATGGTACATCATACAGAGGCATAACATCCTTTCTCTCACTTTCAACTGCCCAAAATCGAACAGAACCATTACCAGCACCAGATGCAGCAAGGTCACTGTTCCTGCAAACAGTGACTGCGCCAACCCATGAGGAAGCTGATGAACAATGATGATTCTCAGGTTTGTATTGCCCGTTTTCTGCAGATTGAAGATAATACTATAACTTTATTAATATACTAAATGAAGACTTCATGGCAACTACAAATTCACGTTCAACTTACAAAGCTGAAAGTGTGTCCTATCCTCTATCATGGATAACATTTTGTGCCAACGAACACGGGACCATCATCCATGAAAGAAGTGATATAACATCTTCAGGAAAAGAAAAGGGTAGTGGAACTCTTTAAAGACACATTAAAGAGAGATTCTTCCAATAAATCAACTTAAAGGAAGAATAAACAGAACAATATGTATTTTATGTGACAATGACACCAAGAAATGTGTGCGCGCGCGCGCGCGCATATATAATATAAAATCTATAGGAATCTGCCAGATTCACATGCCATGAACAGTTAACTCATTTTAGACTCCATCTGAAACACAAGCATTACTAACTTGTTAAGCAAATAGAAAAAGAATCACACCTAAGTTACCATTGGGGATTCTTTCATTATCCTTCAGTTCAGATTCCACCTCCTTTGTCAGTACAGCATGAGCGTTTCTCACAATGTAAACAGGCTTCTTTCGCATTACGCTCCAAAACTCAATGCTTCCATCATCCATTCCAGACAAGAATTCATCATTATTAACAAAACAACAGGATTCCAAGGACGATGCAGGAGCACGAAAAACTAATCGTGACTCTTCATGAACCTATATTCAAAAGAAGAAACAACTAATGTTGAAAGCATCATATAGCTGGACCTCAGTACACTAGATAATTTCCACATGTAAAGATAGGACATTGTAGGAGAAAGTAAGAAATATGCAACGAAAAAAATGATTCATCACCAAATTATTCCACTATAAATGCAAAGAAAATGTCTCATCCAATATGTTCTAAAACTTGTTTTATGTCTTTTCCACTCTTGGCTTTTCTTTTTTCAGGATAGAGGCTTTGATTAAAGTAGCAAAAATGGAAAAGAAACAGAATGTACAGTCTCCAGGGCAATCCTGTAAAAGCTCAAAGGCAAATTTGAATACCTAATTTTAAGTTCAATATGCAATGTGACACAAGATGTGCATTAAATAATACCAGGTTACCTTAAACAACTGCATGCTACGATCACGTCCAGCTGATAGTACCCTTTCTTTTCGTAAGCAATCAATACTCAATACTTCACTTTGGTGGCCAAATAAAGTATTCATATAAGTTCTGTCTTCAGCATTCCAAATCTTAACCATTCGATCAAATGAACCAGAAAAAAGTTCTGAAGTTCCTTGCCTAAAAGTTAGACACGAAACTGGGCCCTTATGACCTTGAAAAGCCTGTAAAAGACATAATTAAGAGCTAAGAATAGACATTAACAATGGTAGTCAAAAGTGAAAAGCACTAAAACCCTAAAATGCCCAACGCTAAAAGTGCATGTCCTAGTGAAGCAAGGAGCTAAAATAGGAAATAATGCTGAACATGCACTGCATAAAATTCATGATATATTTTCTAAGTTTTTTTGTTGAGCAATACAAATCATTTTAGAATGAGATGTGATTTTACTTAAAGCCTACATTACAAGACAAGCAGCAAATTACAAATTTGAAACTTCCCTTGATCTTGACCATTTAAACAAGCCACGTAAACAATAAAGAACTACTTTCATTGCAGAAGGAGCTGTAATGATTGTCCAAACATTCATATATTATAAAAAAGTCAGTTACTTTCTCCAATTGTAGACAATTCCACGGCTGGTTTTTTTCTTCTTCTTAAACCTAGACAAGTAGACAATGATCACATTGTAATCTAGAAAGAACAAAGTGCAACCTGAACATGCTCCCTTGTACGTGTATCCCATAGATGAACATGGCGGTCAAGGCCTCCAGTTGCCAAATACCGACTATCAGAGCTCACAGCCAATGCTAACACATGTTTACTGTGGTTTCGAGCCCGACCTTGTGGTTCTTTCATCCCATGAGACCTCATTACTTCATCACTAGGCCATTGATACTTTTCGCTTTTCCCGCTATTTAGATCCCAGTGCATAATAGTCCCATCCTTTGAAGCTGAAAAGCCTTTCATGTCATCCTCTGCTAGAGCCACAGCAGTAACAGACTGTCTATGCTTCACTAACAGGCGAAATTCTCCACTCGTTCCTTTTTGTTTCACCCTATATTACATTCACGGTACATGTAAGCATCGTATTAGCAAGTTTCTATTTCTCTTTACCATCACGTTTTGGACCCACCTCAGGTTCAGAACAATAAATTTTAAGTCTTATAGCAACAAAAGAAGATTCTATGACCAGCAACAGTGGGCAAAGAACTCTATTTAAACTCCCTCCCCCATAAAAAAAAAAACAAATTAAGAATTGCAGAAATCAAGATATGACGAATTTAATCCTCAACAAGAAGCATTGCTGCACTGCATTGTAATCTGATAATAGAGCCTCACCTGGATGCTAATGCTCTCCGAACCCGCCCACTCTCTTCTTGCTGCTCCTGTATCAACTTCTGGGCTATGAGGGAGTCTTTTTCGCCTTCCTTTTCATCATCATCATCATCACTCTCTTCTCTATCTTCTTCCCTTTCTTCCTTCTCTTTCCGAGCAATATTTCGATACATTTTCAAATAATCCACCGCAATTCTCTTCCTTGCCTCAGCCTCAGTTTCTTCTTCCATCTCAGCCCCATGAGCTTCCTCTTCCCCATCAGCACCGCCGCCAAAGAAGTCATCTTCCTCTTCGTCACTTTCTATCTCACCGTCATCCACTTGGTCATCAACTTTCCGTCGCTTTCTCGGCTCGTCGCCAAAGAAAGGATCATGATTGGATGAGAAATTTTTACCCTTCCTTCCGCCTTTCTTCTTAAGATTCTTGCTCCCCATAATGGAATGTTTAAAGGTCAGTTACTCGACGGAGAGATAAGAGATTGGGGTTTACGCAGAAGACAGCTAGGGTTTAAGCCTTGAGTTTCCGAGGTTTACAGTTACGAACAGAGTACCGGAGGCGCTCGGCAAGAACATGAGCGGCAACGTTTATAGCATGTTTTTATATGAATTAGACTTTATGACAGGAAAAAATATTAAAGGAAAAAATAATTAACAATGAAAAATAACCATATACTTTTATGACAAAAATTAATGAGTTTATTGAATCAATGAAAAATAACCATATTCTTGACGCTCATAGCTTTTATGATAAATAAATAATTAACAATGAAAAATAACTGTGAACTTTTATTTTCCTAACATATTTTTTATTAGAAAATAGAAATATACAAGAGGATAAAAATCAATCCTCGTTAAAAAAGATACTTATATTTAATAAACAACTATATTTTAAATATAATGACTTTTAATGGAAGAATACTTATGAACAATAAAAAAATATAGATAATAATTTGTTTTATTCTTACATCAATTATTTTAAAATATGATATCATGTGCATATAAAAAATATAAAGAATCTTTTATATGTGATCCCCACATAAATTAAAATTTTAAAATATATTCTATTTTAAAAAGTTATTACCTGTAAATATAAGGGTTTTTTATCTCATTAATATAAAAAATTTAAATAACATAATTTTTATATGACTATTTAACTAAGTTAAATTTGAATATTGTTCAACACAATTTAAAATAGCTCTTCTAAAAATATTTTTTACAATCACATAGTTTTTTGTGTTATAAAATTTTTTACCTTATTGACAACTTATTCTATTTTATAACCTATCATTTTGTGTATATTAAAAACTTAAACGACATATTTCATAAATAAAATTTATGACCTTTGCACTTTGTTATTAAAATTTTAAAATTAAAAACTAAATTAGAGCACACGTGATAAAAAAAATATGTTAAAATACTACCATTCAATTATAGATGATAATTCACTTTACTTTATAATTTGTTACCTGATGTGTATTTAAAAAGGGATGATAAAACATTACTCCTTTAATTTTACATTAACAATAATTTGATCTTTTAATTTTATTATTTGAAAAGGGGGCATACCATTAAAATTTACTAGCAAAGATAAAAAAAAGAATTGAGGTGGCAACCACATAAATAAATGATAAAATCAATCTAACTTAAAAATAGATTTATTTTCATTTAGCCATCAACATACTTTATACATTAGATTAATTTAAAGGTTGATTAGTGCTTCAAAACTTAAAAGATTAAAGTGATAATTTAAGAAGACATGAGGAATTAAATTAATAAAAATTAAACTTGAGAAACTAAATCAATAACTAAGTAAATTTGAGGGATTAAAAATTTTATTATTTTTTAAAAATAAACAACGTACTTTATTTTAAAATTAGTTACCTCATGGATATTAAATATATGAACACCAACTTATTCTAAATAGATCACTATAAAATTGTAGTGATTTAGCTTGAATTTGAATTTAGTGAAATTTACTTATTCAATGAATATATCAATTATATCTGTTAAATTATATTAATGCTTGAAAATTATCAAATATATTTTTCTTTAAAATTTTAAAATAACTATCATAATTAAAACACTTATCACGTTCAATGTCCCTTTTAAAAATTTAAGATTTGGTAATTTTTTAAGTGTTGTATAACAAAATATCTTATAATAGTTTAATTAAGTTGACCAGTTATTATCACGTCATGTGTGACGCTCATTAAGTGAGAGGATTTGTTCCATTCATTGAATCCAAATCCAATTTATCTCACAAAATTATTGTAATCCTATTATAATCCATTGACAAATTTTATTATATATTTCTTCCATGTTTAAATATAAGCAAAATTTTCATATGGTTTGGTGTTATTTTTTATAAGAAAAACAATACTTTTTAAAAAGTATTTATGAAATATTTTCTTAATTACTCTTCATCAAATGATAGTATCATTAAATTAGGGAAAACTAAAATATTAATCATAGTATATTTTTATCTAAACTTTTTAATTTCAAACATAATTATTAGTATTAACCATTAACCAATTCTTTTAAACCATGTGAATTGATTTTTTTTTTTCAGCAAAGTGATTTGATTAAAATTTGCTTATATATAAAAGTAGAGTGAATAAGTTAATTGATTTAAATAATAGAACATTCTATTTGATAATTTATTATTTAAATTTATATGTCACATGAAATTAATTATCTTATGCATATATAAAATACAAGTAACAAATGATAAGTCTCCTATATTTACCAAAAAAAATATTATATTTCATAAATGTTATTTTCATTATAAGTCTCGTATCTACAAGCATATTTTATTATGGGTCCCACACTTATACTTTTAATTTTTGTTATAGGTTCCACTTGAACTCTTAATGTGTAAGAATTAAATTAAAAAAAAAACTGTCATTCATTCAAATTGTAGATGAATACTAATCATGATGAATTTTACAAGATATAAGACAAAATGCAGCCTTCTAACTAACAAGGTTAATCTAATTGGTAAGCATTTCGTTAATAATTCATAAGTCATGGGATGAAATCTCGTTGTCAATGTAAAGACGTTGTTGATAGACGTTTTGTAAGTATTTCTTTAAATGTTCTTTGTGTAACATTCTAGAAATTTAACCCAAATTAGCTGAATTAAATGGGGTTAATTAAGAATATTAATGTGATGTGTGGTTACAGAGAGCTAACAGATGTTTTGGGTTGTGATTTCAACTCTAATATTGAATCCGGAGAGAAGTTAGGCCACCCAAATGTTAAAAAGTGAGAAAAATAAAGGAAAGTGGTTTTGTGTCACATGTCACGAGGTGTACATGACATGCCACGATGCATAAATCATCAAAGCACAAATGTCCCTTCTCTACATCACGTATCACAGGTCACGATTCTATAAAAATAGAGCTATGTCAAATGTAAAAAATAGAAAAAAAAAACAAAAGATAAATGAAGAAAACTTGAGGAGTTCTGCTAGGGCTTGGGATTTAGAAGCATTAAGAGTGTTTTGAAATTTCTAAATACTAAAGGTAAGTTTCCAAAGTATTTATTCTCCTTCTTCTTGCATTATCTTGAGTTTAGGAGTTTGGGTTTGTTTAAGAAAAATGATTTTCAGTTCATTAAAGCTATGAATCCAAACCTATCAACTTAAATAGAGTTAATGAGAGTTATTTAGGTTATTTAAACATAGCATTAATGACTTTATTCATTTTTTGTTGTTAGGAACTATTAATATCCAAAAATGACATTAATGAAGGTTGTTAGAGGAGTTGAAAATGTCATTAATGATTGGTTGTGAGTTAAATAAAGTCAATGTAAGTTAAATGAATTTAACAAACCTTATAGGTACTCTTGTATATGAGGAGATTGAGTTGTGAGAGTTGGAAATGTTAATTTAGATATTGAAAATTTTCCTAGAAAGGATATTAATAATAGTTAATGTGATTAATTATAAACTAATCACTTACTGGCAACATTCAATCTTGAATTAGCTTTGAAAGTGTGTATTTAAGAGGTTAAACATTTGACCTCTCAAAGGTTTAAGATAATCAGGGAAAAATCTTTCTTGTGCTTTTATGTGTTAATCAATTTCTTGATTTATATACTATAACCGAAACATGTGAAATTCTCGAAAATGTAAGTGTGGCATATGAGATTGTAATCTCCCTTTAACAACAAGAGGAAGTTTTGAAATAAACACTTGTGATGTGGAGTTCAATGAAAATGTATGATGTGGAGTTTCATGAATTTTTGTAAAGTGAATTTCAATTATATGATGTTTTATGAAGTTTAATGAACATCTGTAGTGAGGAGTTCAATGACGTGTTGTTATATATTTGTGTGATGACTATATATGTTATGAGTACAATAATGATAACAAGCATGCATGTATATTGAGAATTTTGCATGCTATGTGATTTTGCATTTATGTATCGCATGACCATGTGAAACGAGAGTTTGCCTAAGAAGAAGAGTAGTAAGTTGAAATTCATGTGATAAGGTTACCATTAAAACTTGATGGTTTGCCTGTATATTATTATTTATATTGTTTCACTTATTCGATGAGGGACTGTCCCATTATGTAATAAGGGACTTGAACTTACTCTAGTTTTTACTTGTTAGATGAGGAAGCTAGTTTAAGGAGAACAACACCCCACAGTATAAGATTTGAGGGAAACTATGACCCACAAGTAAATTAAGCAACTTAGTTAGGATAATAGCTAAGGGTTTCATGTCAGAGGTGTAAAGATGATATAAGGGAGGTGTAATCATGTATATTGTGATAATATGGCACATGGTTGTTTATATTATGTCCCTTATTTTGAAAACATGTGATAATATCTATTTAATGTCATTATTGTGAAAAATGATATTGCAAATTATGAAAATGAATATTGTGAATTTGAAAAAATGATATTGTAATTTGTGAAAATGGGACTTGAATGTGGATGACATGAGTGAGATGATAAATGGCCACTTACATTTAAAATTAATTAACATGTATTAGTATAAGTTTGATATACCTTAATTACTGTGTGGTTATACTCAAACTTTTTTTTAATATTATAGGAGTTAGCTCATTAGGACAAGATTGAGGAAAACTTTTAGATTAGTCCCTTAATTACTTAAATTCTAGATTAATGTGGAGATTAGTAAGGAAGACTTTACACTTTGAGATTGAAGCATTGATCATAAAAAGTCTAAGGACTCAAGTCACCTAAATTTTTTCACCTAAATAAGAGTTCACTCTTCCATGTAAACTTTAAATGACATTACTAATAAAAATGGTTATTTTCTAGAGTTAAACAAAAAATCAACACAAAAAGTAATCGACTAGGAAAACCCAATATTATAAAGTAGAGAGGGGTGCAAAGGTACCTTAATCGTTAAATTAATGAGTGCAACTATCACATATCCATTTAAGTTGGTGAATGTTGACTGTGAAAGTGCACACGTAAGCTAACAATTTAAATATTTGCTAATGTGTTCATGTAGCTTGTCTTCTTCCATATTAAATTTGACCTTTTGCAAGTAATAAAGGGTAGACCAACTATAGCAAAAGCATGGGTACTAGCAATA